AGAGAAATCTAGTCGATCGTACTTTATGATTTCCTTACGACTGAATTTATATCTAATGAATGTGTTTTTCAGTTCCCCTTTTATTCATATCAATAAATTTCAACTTGGGAAATGAGAGAAGAGTTGTTTCATTAAACAATAGTATCCACTATGCATTACAAGTTCTGCGGTAGCGGAAAAACACCCCACAAAAACCAACATTTTTGTGCTCCTGTGTTCTTTTTCATAAAGTATTACGAGGCATTTTCCAGTTAGCAAGATTTTTCTGGAAACATTTATATATTTATGGTGAATTATGTGCACTTTATATAAACCACTTGTAACAAAACATTAACAGAGAACAAACACATTACCCTGACGAAAGTGGAACAAAATCTGTATCCTATTAAGTATTCAATTCTTATTTCACTTGTAAAACTGATATATTTCTTATAAGTTACAGTATATTTTTCTATTACCTGAGAGTTGGTCCAGTTGTAAGTAAACTGTCCGAGCCCTCGAGTTCAGAGATGTACAACTCATGTCGGTTTTCCAACGTTCTTTCGCTAAATATGTCATTTTTCAATACCCAATCACCCAGGTGTGGCCCCACCGTACCTTGAGAATCGGAACTTTCATTAGCAGTCCGAAATGGGTAGTTGTCTTTTTCTTTACTAGGAATAGAAATACTATTCTGTTGGTTTTCGGGCGCTAATCGAGATAAGCGAATTCCGTCTGTATCGTCGTGAGTCAATTTTTGCTGTGAATTAATTAGATTTTGACTATTACAGTCAACTACTACGGCCATGGTTCTTTCAGTTGGAAGACGCGATATTCATTCGTTCGTTCATACAGCTCCTGCCACGTTCGACTGAACTTTGGACTTCTGATACTGCACTAGTCGTCAATATATGTGAGATAACTAAAGATGAAGAATGAAGACTTTGAAATTTTTGTTGCTTGGCGTTTTACTTAATTTTCTTCAACATTTTTTGATGATAACTCAATTCAGTAAATATAGGTAACCGTTATATTTAAACCAAAGAACTGATGGCATGATTATGAGAAACTACTGAGTGGTTAATTTGTAGATAGTGTTTACAGAGCACTTTTCTATAAATTAATTAATATATATAGATGCCAATCAGCCCTTACAAAAGCGCAACAGCCAAATTTGACGAAAAGAACAACTTTAAACGATTTCTATTCGAATACCTTAGCATGTACCTTAAATAATACAATCTCTGTAGACATTATTCAGTTATGAAACTGTCTATCGCCTGTGACGAATTATGACACTGACGTATGAGATTACTACATACATATCATAATGGACGAGACTAATATTTAAATTCAAACATCTACCTGATGGACCATTGAAATTGCCTCATCCCTTTACACCCCACTGGCCTGCATGTTGGATATACAAGATTGTTTAGTATAAGTGTTATTATTTAGTTCATTTTGTGACTTAATATTTAATGATTGTTTAGTTTTTAAGACAGGAGTGTTGAAGATGGATCGTTTTAAATGTGTTAATTGTGACAAATTTCGTTAAGTAACTCTGTACGAATCGTACGTTGTATTTGTAATTATATTGTTGTCTAGGCTTTACTAATATTGTTGATGTCATATTACTCGAATCTTCGGTATTTTTCTCGTTACCTTAACTGAGTATTGTTATATTATAGCGCCGCTCGCGTAGTTTGTAGAAAATTGTAGGTCTCAGTTGTGCAGAGTAAATATATATAGGTGGCTCGCTAGCGCGAGTTAAGAAGCAGAGAAAAGTCAAGTGAGAGATAATTAAACAGATTTAGACTTAGTGATTGGCAATTTAGCCATAACAGGCGATTTACAAAGCCAGAAAATATTACAGAAAGTAAAGTAGAGAAAAAGTGAAAGTAAGGTAAGTAAGTAAGTCAGAAAAAAGTTAGAAAACGTAAAGCTAGCCGGCGTGTGAGTGATTAACCTTAGCGACGATATTTTAAAGTGAGTTTCATAGTTTAACATAGATAAGAAGAATAATTTGTCGTGCCAAAGGGTGTTCGAAAGTAATTGAACTCGTCTGTGTCGACTTTGATGAAAAGAGACAAGTATTTAAAGTTTGAGATACAACTGTGGTAACCCCGAGGTGACGTAAATGAATTTATCGCAGATTGTATAGTAAGAAACAGAATAGAGAAAAATAGTTCGTCTTGTCAATTGCATTCAAAAGTAATTGAATTAGCTTGTGTTTACTTTTAAAAAGAAAAGAGAATTGTTTAGAGTTTTAGACACAATGGTGATAACCAAGTGTAATGAGTTTTTGTACATACTGTTACGTCTCCGTTTGTTAATTGATTTTTTCCGTAACTTCGTTCCGACGAAACTTTAACGACACAAGTCCTTA